AGAACCCAAAACCATTGCTTTGAGGCAGTGAATGGCTTTTATAAAGTTATTATGGGTTAGAATATGTTATAATACAATAAATTTGATTGATTACAAGTGCTAGAGGTCTATGAACAATGTTAAGAAGTGAGAAAAAAGACTTGTTGATATTTGGTCCCAAATGGGATAAGAAACTAAAACCATTGCTTTGAGACAGTGAATGACTAGTATAATATATAGTAAAAAATGAGAAAAAATGTGCATGCAAATGAACAATGAATGGGCAAAGTAAAAGGTATTGGGTGAGGGAATGGTAGAGCAGCTGCAGCAGCCAGTAGCATTTATACTGACAAATATCTCAGACTCATCCATATTATTTTCGTTAAACATTTTTCTTTTGCTATGTATATTCTTACCACTTTTTCGTGTTTTTCAGATTTTCTACTACTTACAGATTTTTTAAAAATATTTTGCTAATCTTATTAGTCATTTACGCTCTTGTCAGTTGTAGATTATCTTCAACTACAGGTGTTTCTTATTTTTTTCCAGATGGAATCTACAGGTGTTTCTCACCTCAGTCAATTCACACCCCAAAAATAACTTGTAGTTTTTGTACTTTTACCAAGAAACAAATCATAATAATTGATGCCTAAGGTTTTAACAAGTATATCACTGTTCTAAAACCTCATCTCTTTCGTTTTGAACCGAGGTATATCCAAAGTGTAAAAGCTATATCAATTCCTAGATCTATATGTATTGAAATTATTGGGGTACCTTTTATATATAAAGCAGATATGAACAAAACAGTTAGGAAAAATAATAATGTGATTTTGTAGGTACGAGAGGCAATTCTAGAACGTGTGTTGGTGGTGTGTTAGATATTGCAGGCATGATAATAATAGATGAAAGTAACATTTAAATAGAGGACGAGAGAATCCATTGAATCGTATCTTACAAGAGAAAGTCCAAAAAGTCTACAAAAACTGTATATATAGTATTTGAAAGATTATAAACCCATGCACATGCTCACAATCGTCTCATTGATCCATGTGTATAACCTATGTCTCCCTAACTAATTACTCTAATTCCCCTAATTCATTTATTAATTCAACACTAGCTACTCGGATAAGCTCAACTACTTTTTACTACTATTGCTTAGCATGTACATATCTAGCATCCCTCTACTAGACTCATCCACATCTATATTACTTTTACTTTTTTTTTTTTTTTCTTCTTTGCGTTTTGCAATGTGATAGTTGGAAGATCGATCGAACCAATTTTGTTTTGAAACTTGGGACGTTTTAATTGGTTAAACCATAACCACTAGTCATAACTTCCTTATATATATATGCATGTCAAATTTAGTTTCAAACACAATCTAAACTATTTAGCGTAGTTACATCGTCACTCTTTAGCGTAGGAAGATTTAAACTATTTATCATATAGAATAACAAGTTGACAACGATACAATGTTTTTATTTTTTCTCATACAACAATACAATGTTTATATATCTTAGTTTTCTATGCGATTTATAAGAAAATTCAGCGTAAATATCAAAATTACGTGTGGTATTAATTAAATTACATAACATATCTCTAGAGAGGAGGAACATATATTTCGCGGAACCCGGGAACTATCACTCACTCCCTCACTTCAAAATCACAAAGTACTAATTCAGGAATCTTTGAGTTTTTCATTTGCTTCATGTCCCATTAACTTTGAGTTTGATGTAAAATGGTAAAGATGACGAGTCGCCTAACGCAAACGCAATCGCGCGCTCGTGTTATACGTTCACACATACACAGCATCATTGGTCTTTAATCGACAGCGAGTGAGTTTTTGGATTTTACTATTGGTCCTCGTGTTACCCTAAATTTTTGTCCTTTACATATTAACCTTTTTATACGCATGAAGAAAGAGAGTGAAACAGAGATTTGAATACGTTTTTTGACTGATTAATTAAAATAAATATTACTAAAACAAATCGAAAATTAAAGAAGAGATTATCTACTTGAATAATACAATTTTCTTTTTTTCTGGAATGATACATGACTACCCTTACCCTTCAAACCGACCAATACATCTCCACATTTTCCAAAAAACCAACTTTTTTTTTTCTTCTTATTGCAAAATTCTTTTAATATAAATGCGCATAATATGTCGCCTCGGAAGAGATGAAACATTATATTTTTGACTTTTCTTCTTCTTCTTGTTCATCTCATCTTCTCTCTTCATTTAAACCAAAACCTTTTTCTTTCTCCCATTCATGCATGAACCCTAACTAAAGTTCTTCTTTCTTATACTTCTTCATCTCTCATCTCTTACGATAGGAGTTATTAGATTACATGAACTCGATGAATAACTGGCTAGGTTTCTCTCTCTCCCCTCATGATCAAAATCATCACCGTTCGACGGACGTCGACTCCTCCACCACCACAACCGCCGTAGATGTCGCCAGTGAGTACTGCTTCGATCTGGCCGCTGCCTCCGATGTGTCTTCTGCCGTTCAAACATCGTTTCCTTCCCCTTTTGGTGTCGTCCTCGAAGCTTTCACCAGAGACAACAATAGTCACTCCCGAGGTTTTTGTTTTTCAAAATTTTTATTTCTTTATTTTGTTTTTGTTTTTTCTTCATTTTCCCCTTCTTCCAATGCATAGAACAAAGACCAAGACTCACGCACGTAGCCCTATTTTTGTTGTTTTTTTCTTATTTATCGATTTCATATCTTTTGAGAATTTCCATGAGTGGGGTTTAGTGCTTGGTTCACATCTCATGAATTTAACTTAGTCAAAAATGGACTAGATATTCTTATTCTCCATTATTCAATATCACAGTATGATCACACATCATGTAATTTTAATCTTTTTGTTTTGTCATCTAAATCAAAATCCCATTTCGTATATAATAATATATGTATATGTGTTCTTTTGTCTACAGATTGGGACATCAATAGTGGTGCATGCAATACCATCCACAATAATGAGCAAAATGGACCAAAGCTTGAGAATTTCCTCGGCCGCACCACTACGATTTACAATACGGCCAACGAGAGCGTTGGAGATGGCAGTGGCGGTTTAGGAGGAGGAGATGGTGGCTCACTGGGCCTTTCAATGATAAAATCATGGCTGAGTAATCAGCCGGTGGCTAATGTTAATCACCAAGACAATGGTAATGGTGCACGAGGCTTGTCTCTCTCTATGAATTCATCTACTACTTGTGATAGCAAAAACTACAACAATAATGATGCTGTCCAAGAGAAGACTATTGTTGATGTCGTAGAAGCTACACCAAAGAAAACTATTGAGAGTTTTGGACAAAGAACCTCTATATACCGCGGTGTTACAAGGTACCGTTCATCTACATATATATAATTTTATTGTCTAAAATTGTCACATGAATCTTGATTTTCTTGGTAAAGTTTGGGACATTCTAAATGGTTAAGGTGAAAGAGTGCTACAGAATGTTCCTAGATAAATATTAAAGAGATACTACATTAATTAGTCCATATGGGCTTAGTCGCTTAGATATATAGAGTAATATAATACATATATTTGTATGCATTAAATTTTCAGGCATCGGTGGACAGGAAGATATGAGGCACATTTATGGGACAACAGTTGCAAAAGAGAAGGCCAAACTCGCAAAGGAAGACAAGGTATAAATTTATAGTTCTTTTCAATTTGATACACCATATCTGTTTTCAAATTGAAAAGAACTATAAATTTATACCTTGTCTTCCTTTGCGAGTTTGGCCTTCTCAGTTTATTTGGGTAAGTCATTGATGTACATATACAGTATGACTAGTACACTAGTAGATCAACTTTTTAAGTAATAATATAATTAGATTGTTATCTGATCATGCAGGAGGTTATGACAAAGAAGAAAAAGCAGCTAGGGCTTACGATTTAGCCGCACTAAAATATTGGGGAACGACCACTACTACTAACTTTCCCGTAAGTTAATTAAATCGATATATTATACATAACTTCTAACCATTTTTATTCTTTTTTTTTGTCTGATTAATGCTTGCTTTTAAAACAATTATCTTACTTTGATATGTCATGTTTATTTCGTTTAGATTTATTACAATAAATTTGTAATAAATTAGTAATGTTGGCTGGATATATAATATTCAGATGAGTAGTTATGAGAAAGAGGTAGAAGAGATGAAGCACATGACGAGGCAAGAGTATGTTGCTTCTCTGCGCAGGTATATAATGGAACTGTTGAATTTATTGCATATGACAATTATATTATTGAGTTCTATATTATATGATAGAAGCCCATCACGTATATACCTATTGATATTTCGTAATTCACACTATAAACTCATTATAGGGAAGTATATAATACAAATTAAAAATATGCAGGAAAAGTAGTGGTTTCTCTCGTGGTGCATCGATTTATCGAGGCGTAACAAGGTACGTCGTATCAACTATGTACATAGAGATACCGAATACAAGTGCTTCAATTCCTTTTTTTTTGGTTTGACGTATATATAATTGATGAATATATTAAAATACTATATACATTATGAATCTAAAATAAATGGTATTTTTTTCTAATGGGTTCAAAAGGCACCACCAACATGGAAGGTGGCAAGCTAGGATCGGAAGAGTCGCTGGTAACAAAGACCTCTACTTGGGAACTTTCGGTACGTTTTTTCTTTTCTTATTACACTTTTCAATCAAAACCTACATAAACTATTGATATTAAATATGCAAAAAATATATCTAAGTGAATTATATAAATCATGTAGGCACACAAGAAGAGGCTGCAGAGGCTTATGACATTGCAGCCATTAAATTCAGAGGACTAAGCGCAGTGACTAACTTTGACATGAGCAGATACAATGTTAAAGCAATACTCGAGAGCCCAAGTCTACCTATCGGTAGTTCTGCGAAACGTCTCAAGGAAGTTAACACGGTTCCAAGTATGGTGATCAGTAATAACGTTTCGGAGAGTGCTAATAATGTTAGCGGTTGGCAAAACGCTGCGTTCCAACATCATCAGGGAATGGATTTGAGCTTATTGCAGCAACAGCAGGAGAGGTACGTTGGTTATTACAATGGAGGAAACTTGTCTTCCGAGAGTACTAGGGTTTGTTTCAAACAAGGTGAAGAACAGCAACGTTTCTTGAGTAACTCGATGGATCATTATAGTTCGACTTCTGATGATTCGGTTACAGTCTGTGGAAATGCTGTTGGTTATGGTGGTTATCAAGGATTTGCAATCCCTGTTGGAACATCGGTTAATTGCGATGCTTACACTGCTGCTGAGATTGCTTACAACGCTAGAAGCCATTACTATTATGCTCAGCAGCAGCAGCAACAACAGCAGATTCAGCAGTCGCCGGAAGGAGATTTCCCGGTAGCCATTACTATTGGCTCTAACATGTACTTTCATGGGGAAGGTGGTGGAGAAGGGGCTTCAACGTTTTCAGTTTGGAATGGTACTTAGAAAAAATAAGTAAAAGATCTTTAGTTGTTTGCTTTGTGTTTTGAACAGTTTGATTTTGTTTTTAGTAAGTTTCTTATAACTTTTTTCATAGTTTCGATTATTTGGATAAAATTTTCAGATTAAGGATAAGATCTTTAGTTATTTTTTTTGTTTACATTCTAATCCTAATTTAATTAGTACTGTATTACTATAAGAAAATGTAGTTGGTTTATTGATTCCCTAGTTTTTTTTGTATAAATAGTGAAATCACAAATATATGTTATATTTGGTATTTGAGAATAATCATGCATGGTTGACTAGTGCACAGCCCATTTAGCTTCTAAATATGTCAGGCCCATGGATTTGTCGTCAGAGGAATTCTAAAATTATGGGACTAGTGCAAGAGGAACTCGCATGGTAACCGAGTGGATAAGAAAAAGGCTGAAGAAGCTGTCTCATTTGAGTTTCATCTTTAGATTCTCTTCAGTTTATGTATGTATGCTAGAAAACTCACCTAATTAGGGACAGAAGAATCGTAACTTGGCTTGCACTCTACTCATCTAACCTCTCTTTTTGTTAGTTACCAGATTTAAATTATTTTAAAAAGGTATAAATTGTCTTTTTAATTCGAACATAGTTTTGAAAAGTTCAATTATTATTTCCTCAACACCAATAAAACAGAATATACAATTGGTATAATTTAAAAAGACAAGGAATGAGATTAGGACAGTATAAGTCAGTAAGTAAAAATGTTGTGAAAGAGACATGCAACACAATATACAAAAAAGGTGAAGCTTGAGGAAACCGCGACGGTGAAAGAACAACATATTACATATACATGTCAGCTGATGGATGTGAGTGAGAGTTTGGTGCACTTGTAGTCGTAGCAAGATTTAAAAAATTAATATAAACGAAAGCTTAGCTTGAAGGCAATGGAGACTCGACAACAAACTACGCACCATACAGAGAGAGAAACTAAAAGCTTTCATTCATAAAAACCAAACTTGTTCTTTTCTGATCTCACACATTAATTGATGAATACTGTCCTGTCTCTCTGATTCCTGCTCTTACTATCGACGTTGATTGCGGCTGGTCTCTCTCCGGCGGCTGCTATGGAAGCTAGCGCCGGTCTTGTTGCCGGTTCGCATAACCGTAACGAACTTGTCGTCATTCACAACCATGAAGAGGTTTTTAATACCCATTTTTCTCAATCGTTACTACCAATGTTTTTATCAGTTCACCGTTCACTAGTAAAACAGAGATTACTGCATTTTGTATGGTTAAAAATTAGAGTATATATCTTGAGTTATTATTATTTTTATTTTTTGGTTTTAATCATCATAAAATTTTATATCCTGTATGTTTTAATAAACTGTTTTGTAGTAATGTTATACTATTTTTTATTATTATTAACAACATAAGTAACTGTTTTTTTTTTCCTAATAAGCAATCAGAGTTAATTTAACCACTTAAATCAGTTTATTTTGGTTATGTAATTGAGAAAACAAGATATAAAAACCAAGACCAAGAGAGACAGTGTAACAATGTCTTCACTTAGCTGAAACTTGTTTCTGGGTTAAATTTACAGCCGAAGCCTTTGAAGAATCTGGATGGGCAATTTTGTGAGATATGCGGAGATGAGATTGGTTTGACAGTAGAAGGAGACCTCTTCGTGGCTTGCAATGAGTGTGGTTTTCCGGCGTGTAGGCCTTGCTATGAGTACGAGAGGAGAGAAGGGACACAGAACTGTCCTCAGTGTAAGACTCGTTACAAGCGTCTCAGAGGTATTCAATTTATTCTCCGATCTCATGTTGCTCGACGAAATGCCTCAATGAAAATTTTAAAAAGCTCTGTTTTTTATTTACTTTGAACTCGGAGAATGATCTTTTTTTTTTTTTTTTTTCCTGTTTTTGGTTTCTGAAGGAAGCCCAAGAGTGGAGGGAGATGAGGATGAAGAGGATATTGATGATATTGAGTACGAGTTCAATATCGAAAATGAACAAGACAAGCAGAAGCATTCAGCTGAGGCTATGCTTTATGGGAAAATGAGCTATGGAAGAGGCCCTGAGGATGATGAGAACGGGAGATTCCCACCTGTTATAGCCGGTGGACATAGTGGAGAATTCCCAGTTGGAGGAGGGTATGGGAATGGAGAACATGGGCTTCATAAGCGTGTCCACCCTTATCCATCATCTGAAGCTGGTGAGTCTCTCTATTCTCATCGTCCTCCGTAACTTGCTGTAACTTGTAGTAGCACAAGACGATATGAGTTTGTTAGAAGTGTTATCATGGAAATGTTATCTTACATAGAAAATAATGTGGTCTCTCACCGATGATTAGGTTCCCTTATATGTCAATATGTGCAAAAAATACTTAGGTATGAGGCTTGCCAGCTAGGTATTGAATAATTTGGTACTAGATAGTGACATAGTTATATAAAATTCAACAGTATAGCCTTGTTTGAAAAAGATCTGCTTATTTTGGCGAATTTCAAGTACACATAACATGAAATTGATACAAGTGAAAAGCAACTGAAGTTGAGGTTTCTAACAACACTTTTTCTTTTTGTTTCCGTTCTCTGTGTAATTTAAATGTGGTAGGGAGTGAGAAATGGGATGACAAGAAGGAGGGAGGGTGGCGGGAAAGAATGGATGACTGGAAGCACCAGCAAGGAAATCTAGGGCCAGAGCCAGATGATGATCCTGAGATGGGACTGTAATGCCTCCTCAAACATTTCTCTAAGACGTCAGTTTTATATGATTCGGATTCATGGTTTTTCAAACTTTTAGATTTTGTTTGGAAATGACTGCAGGATCGATGAGGCGCGGCAACCACTCTCTCGGAAAGTGCCCATTGCCTCAAGCAAGATCAATCCATATCGGATGGTCATTGTTGCTAGGCTTGTTATTTTAGCAGTATTTCTACGGTATAGGCTCTTGAACCCTGTGCACGATGCTCTGGGGTTATGGCTGACCTCTGTGATCTGTGAAATCTGGTTCGCTGTCTCTTGGATTCTTGATCAGTTCCCTAAGTGGTTCCCCATTGAACGTGAGACCTATTTAGATCGGCTCTCCCTCAGGTAAAAATCTGCAAATTAAGTAGATGCCTTCAATTCTATGAAGTTGGAATTTGGATATAAATATATCTTTGTCTACACAGGTACGAGAGAGAAGGTGAGCCAAATATGCTTGCTCCTGTAGATGTCTTTGTCAGTACGGTGGACCCTTTGAAGGAGCCTCCCCTAGTTACATCCAACACTGTGCTGTCAATCTTGGCCATGGACTACCCAGTTGAGAAAATCTCCTGCTATGTCTCTGACGATGGTGCTTCAATGCTCACATTTGAATCTCTCTCAGAAACTGCTGAGTTTGCAAGAAAATGGGTTCCCTTCTGTAAGAAATTCTCCATAGAGCCACGGGCACCAGAGATGTACTTCTCGTTGAAAGTTGATTATCTCCAGGACAAAGTGCACCCAACATTCGTTAAGGAACGTCGAGCCATGAAGGTCAGTGTAACCACCTAAAATCTAGCTATACCACTACCCAGCTTTTCACCATAATCTAAACTCATAAGTAAATTTGGCTGTGGCAGAGAGAATATGAGGAGTTCAAGGTCAGGGTCAATGCTCTTGTGGCAAAGGCCTCAAAGGTTCCCATAGAAGGTTGGATCATGCAAGATGGAACGCCATGGCCAGGAAACAACACCAAAGACCACCCCGGTATGATCCAAGTCTTCCTTGGCCACAGCGGAGGATTTGATGTCGAAGGCCACGAGCTTCCTCGGCTTGTGTACGTGTCCCGTGAGAAGCGCCCTGGTTTTCAGCACCACAAAAAAGCTGGCGCCATGAACGCCCTGGTAATTTTCTTGATCTGCCTTGGACCAGATGAGAAACTGATCTCTTTGTCTTGGACCTAACCTGATACTTCTTTCAGGTTCGAGTGGCAGGCGTACTCACAAATGCTCCTTTCATGCTGAACTTGGACTGTGATCACTATGTGAACAACAGCAAGGCGGTAAGGGAAGCAATGTGCTTTTTGATGGATCCTCAGATTGGAAAGAAGGTCTGCTATGTTCAGTTCCCTCAAAGGTTTGACGGTATTGACACGAACGATCGTTATGCCAACAGAAACACCGTCTTCTTTGATGTAAGACATAATCCATATTTCTTCAACTTCTGGTTTGTTAGATTAATATACCCTCTTTCTTACCCTCGTCTTTTTGTTTCAGATCAATATGAAAGGTCTAGATGGAATCCAAGGTCCAGTTTACGTTGGTACTGGTTGCGTTTTCAAACGACAAGCTCTGTATGGTTATGAACCGCCAAAGGGTCCTAAACGTCCAAAGATGATGAGCTGTGGGTGTTGTCCTTGCTTTGGACGCCGGAGAAAGAATAAGAAATATTCCAAGAATGGCATGAATAGTGACGTAGCAGCCCTTGGAGGTAAATTTAGCCCAACAACCTTATAACATCATCCATATCTTTTGAGTAGATTTAGTTTATGTTGGAATCTTTCAGATCTGATATTGGTTTTTGGCAGGAGCAGAAGGTGATAAGGAGCATTTGATGTCTGAAATGAACTTTGAGAAAAAGTTTGGGCAATCATCCATCTTTGTAACCTCGACTTTGATGGAAGAAGGTGGGGTTCCTCCATCATCAAGTCCTGCAGTGCTCCTTAAGGAGGCAATCCATGTCATAAGCTGCGGTTATGAAGACAAAACTGAGTGGGGAACTGAGGTAGTATACTGAATCGTAAGATAATACCTTCTTATTTGTGATTTAGAAGCTGGTCAATGTAAGAAACAATTGTGTATCTTCGAATTGCAGCTGGGTTGGATATATGGCTCTATCACGGAGGATATTTTGACGGGTTTCAAGATGCATTGTCGTGGCTGGAGATCTATCTACTGCATGCCTAAGAGGCCTGCATTCAAAGGTTCAGCTCCTATTAATCTATCAGACAGGTTAAACCAGGTTTTGCGTTGGGCACTCGGATCTGTTGAGATATTTTTCAGCCGGCATAGTCCTCTCTGGTATGGCTACAAAGGAGGAAAACTCAAGTGGCTTGAGCGTTTTGCTTATGCCAACACAACAATCTACCCGTTCACATCTATACCACTCCTTGCCTACTGTATCCTTCCAGCCATTTGTCTTCTTACAGACAAATTCATCATGCC